CAGACCTCCTCATCTGAGTACTGGCTGAATGGATCCAGGTTCATGCGGAGGGAACCCGAGAACAGCACAGGGTCCTGTCAGAGAGAAGCAAGCAGACAGTGGAGGGAGCAGGGAGGCAGCCCGAGGGCTCTCGGCAGCAACGGCTGAGAGTGCCTCCTGCCTCGCAATTGCTGTTTCTAGAGATGTTAATAATGGGGGGGAAGTCTGGAATATCCTGAGTTACACAGAATAAAACACAATGTCTTTTTTCTTTTTTGTTTTGAGGTAGAGTCTCACTCTGTCGCCCAGGCTGGAGTGCAGTGGCATGCTCACGGCCACCACAGCCTCGACCCACTGGGCTCCGGAGATCCTTCCGCCTCAGCCTTCCAAGTGGCCGCAACTACAGGCGCGCGCTATCACAACCGGCTAGTTTTTGATTTATTGTAGGGACGAGGTCTTGCCAAGTTGCCCTGGCTGGTCTCAAACCCCTGGGCTCAGGCAATCCTCTCGCCTCCGCCTCCCAAAGTGCGGGTATTGCAGGTGTGAGCCACTGCACCTGGCTAAAACAGCTGTCTTTTCTGCAGAACTTCCTGGAGCTTTGCATATGGAAATGGTGGGAACCTTCCAAACACACAGCCAGGGTCACTCAGGATGGTAAACAGCAGGATTCCAAGGGTATCATCGAGGGGAAGCCACACTAGAAGGTGACATAGTAAGGACCCCTACAGGGGACTGTCTGGGAAGTTACTTCTTGCCTAGCTCTTGGAAGGGTTGGAGATCCTCGGTCTCCTGGGAAGATGGCACCTTACTGGATTTTGCCAGATGCTTGGAAAACTGCGCCCTGGATGGCAGACAGTGGAGGGAGCAGGGAGGCAGCCCGAGGGCTCTCGGCAGCAACTGGGTGGGACCGACACCCAGTGAATTCCCACACTGCTATTTATGAGCTAAGAGGAGATCTGGGGAGAAAAGCATAGTGCAACTTAAATAAAAATGATGAAAATATTCAAGTAGGAAGACATGTGTGTCTGTCTTGAAAATACGCCAATACTGCTGTTAGCACATCCACAGGATGTGCCCATGCCACCCCTCCCCCGCCACTGTGCCCAGCCCCACCTGTGGGATGATGGTGATTTTGAAGCGGAGGTTGTGTAGCCCAATCTTGGCGATGTTGATGCCATCGATGATGATCTCTCCTTCAGAAGATTCGGTGATCCGAAACAGACCCAGGGTCAGGGAGGACTTCCCAGCTCCTGTCCGCCCCACGATGCCGACCTGGGGGGGGCGTGGGGAGCACCCAAGCAGGGTGGGCATGCTGGCGTCAGGGGCTGCCCCGTCTCGGGTGTCTGCCAGGAGCAGCTCAGACATTGGGTCACCCGCCCCACAGCACTCGCCAGCCTCCCAGACGTGCCTTCACAAGGGGCTGGGTGGCCACAGGTCGAGAAGGACTACCCTCTCTTGGCCAGGCCCCCCACGGAACTCATCAGACCTTTGTATTAAGTTATAGAGACTCTCAGAGAGACAGGCGTCAGGCAGAAGGAATTTTCAAGAAAGCCCTATTAGTTCAACTCAGAAAAATATTAACTGACCATCAGGTACTTCCCTGCTCTCACTTCTCTGATGGTGAGGCCCTCATCCTGAGCTGCCAAAATATCTCAAAGATTCAGCCAGATTCCTCGGGGTCCCCTCTTGATGTGACCTGGTCTCCATGTCCCTCCCTTGAAGGAACCAGGCTTCCTGGGCAATGGCCAAGGACTGACATTCCTAACTTCCAATTAGAAGCCCCCTCCCCATGGGGCTCTCGAGGAGGGCTTCCTTTACCGCCAGCAGAGGCGTCACAGAGCAACATGCCTGCCAAGTTCTCATGAAGACTCAGCAAGAACGTTTCCCTTGCTACGAGTTAGAGAAACGACCTGGGAGTGGAAGGAACCCTGTGAGCCTCATGGTAGGGAGAGCTGAACGAGTCCCAGTTCAGAGATGAAAGACGCACTGCCCTGGGCAAACAGCCGAGAAGACCCATGGTCCGATCCCTGAGGAAGGGCTGAGGGTCTCAGGACAGGGACGTCTTCCAGGACAGCATGGAAGCAGGGGAAGTCTCCAAATTCCAACATCTCGCACCTCCCTTGAGCCATCCCGGGCGACAATGACACCTTATTCTAGAGATCGCAAACGCTCACGCCTTAATCACAAAAGCTCACGCTTTACAGGGCCAAGCAGGCACATGAACAGGGTAGGAGGCGGAGTGAACAAGGTGGCTCATATCTTATCTAGGAAGGGCCAGGTGGGGAGTGTGGACCCAAGGCTGCAGGATGACCTAATCTTCCAAGAAAAGCAGGAGACGGAGGCTACATAAAGCACTCCAGATTCATCAATGCTCACAACTTCTGCAGACTCCTTCCAAACCCATCTGTGGGCCCTGTGCGACCAGAAAGCTTTTGCTTCCCCAAGCTGGGCACTCTCTGAACGGTTTTTACTGCCACGAGCCCCCACAAAAGGTCGCTGGACCCTGTGGCACGGAGCTGGAACCAGCCGGGGGAATGCTGCCACTGGATGCATCGTCCTGGTGGCTGCCTGCGTCCAGCTGTGCGTGGGGGATGGGGAACGCACACGCACCTTCTCTCCCCCGTCGATGGTGACATTGATGTGCCTGAGCACCAGGTCCAGGTCGTCCCGGTAGCGCAGGCAGTAGTTCCGGAACTCCACGCGGCCCACCTGCGGCCAGGTGCTGGGTGGCGCTGTCTCCGGGATGTGCCAGGAAGCCTCGGGTCACAGCGGGGAGAGTGTGAAGCCCCGAATCCACCCCACAGGCCCCAGGCTATCCCACACTGGCCTCTGCCTCCCTCCACCCTCCCATGCCTCCCCATGCTGGCCTCCCAGTCTCAGCCCAGGGGCTTGCTTTGCCTGAAAAGCTCTTCCCCACCTGCAGGCCAACTCAGAACGGCCTCCTTCCCCACTTTGGTCTCCTTCAGAGCCCAGTGCCTCCCAGGGTGTTTTCTCCCACCCATGCCCACTGGACACTCCATTCAGAAAAGAGGCTCTTCATTCATTTTTTAGAGACGGGATCTCACTCTGTTGCTCAGGCTGGAGTGCAGTGGCACGATCATAGCTCACTGCTACCTTGAACCCCAGGCTCAAGATATCCTCCTGCCTCAGTCTCCTGAGTAGCTGCGCTACCACATCCAGCTAAAAACTTTTTTCCCACAGATACAAGGTCTCACTAGGTTGCCCAGGCTGGTCTTAAATTCCTTGGCCTCCCAAAGTGCTGGGATTACAGTGCAAGCCACCATGCCCCACCAAGGATAGGCTCTTCAACTGTTTGCTGCTGTATCCCAAGGCTCAGAGTACATAGTAAGTGCGCAGTCTGTATTTATGGGCTGAATCAATGAAATGAGTGGTCTTCTCTGAACAGACACAAGAGAAAACACGGGTCGCCCTGGTTGCCCACCCCGGATGGAGGCAACCACAAAAGCAGCAGGTAACCCTGAAAGAGAGCCATGTACAGGCCCCGGGTCAATGTCTCTCTCACACAGCCTCACAACAGTCCCACGGTGAGGAGGAATCCTCACACAAGGAAACTAAGACACAGAGAAGGTAAGCAGCGTGCCCAGGGTCACACATAGCTCCTGTGTCTGAAAAGTTCCGCTCAGCACTTCCTGAGGCTCACAGCTGGGCATGGTATGGACCAGTTTTGGCAGTTACAGCCCTAGAGAATTTTTTTGAGTCGGAGTCTCACTCTGTTGCCCAGGCTGGAGTGCAGTGGCACGCTCATGGTCACCCCAGTGTCAACCTGCAGTGCTCCAGCAATCCCTCTGCTCAGTCTTCTAAGTAGCCAGAACTACAGGCATGTGCTACCACGCCCAGCTCATTTTTTGATGTATTGTAGAGACAAGGTCTCACCAAGTTGCCAGGGCTGGTCTCGAACCCGTGGGCTCAGGCAATCCACTTGCCTCAGCCTCCCAAAGTGTTGGGATTACAGGCTGAGCCAACCAAGCCCAGCCAGCCCCAGGGAATTTATATCCCTCCAAGGACCAGGTACATACAGATGATGAACCTGGCTGCAAGTGAATGGACACAGCTCAGGAGCTCAGAGGAGGGCACGAAACAAGATAATAATGGCCACCTTTGGGGCAAGAAACTCAGCCCCTTTAAGGATGTGCTATAAAATAATAGTGTCCTAGCCTGGGCATCACAGCTAGACCCCCAACTCAACAAAAAAATAAAAAATTTAGCCGGGCACGACAGTGCATGCCTGTAGTCCTAGCTACTCAGGAGGCCGAGATGGGAGGATCGTCTGAGTCCAGGAGATCGAGGCTGCAGTGAGCTATGACCGCACCGCATGCTCCAACCTGGGAGACAGAGAGACTCTGTCTCAAAACAAATAACACTCTTTTTTTTTTTGGTGTTTCTTGAGTGATTACAACACATTAAGTGCTGTGCTCAGTGACTCAGACCAGTGATCTCATCTAGACCCCACAGCAACGTTCACAGGGATGCAAAGACACCTCCTGGTTAAAGGTAAAGGGGGGCTCCTTGCAGAATAGCAGGTGGATGCTGTTAAAATGCTGTAAGAAAAGAAGCAAGCAAATGTGTAGGAACGTATGTGTGTGAACACATGCAAGGAAAGTACTGAAAGAAATGCCCATCTGCCAACAGAGGCTCTCTCTGGGGAAGGCTGTCTCTGGGGAAGGAGAAGAATGGAAAGGACACAGAGAGAGCTTTCATTCTCCCCCATAAGTTTCTTTCTCTTTCTTTTTTTTTTCCCCCGGAGCCAGTGTTGCCCAGGCTGGAGTGCAGTGGCTTGATCACGGCTCACTGCAGCCTCGACCTCTTGGACTCAGGTGATCCTTCTGCCTTAGCCTCTCGAGGAGCTGGGACTCTAAGTGGAAGCCACCATGCCTGGCTACCTTTTTTGACTTTTTCTCACTGTGTTGCTCAGGCTGGCCTCAAACTCCTGGGCTCAAGCAATCCTCCTGCCTTGGCCTCCCAGAGTGCTGGGATTACAGGCATGAGCCACCATGCCCAGTAAGTTTCTTGTATCAGTTTTTTTGAAACAACAAGCATGTCTCCGTTTTATAATTTACATACATAAATGAAGGGGACACGTTGTGAGAATATAGTGAGAAAGGACTGGAGAGAAGCAGGTAGAACTTTCTACCTAAACATAAATATGTACATATTTTGAACAGTGATAGGGCTATAAGAGATTTTCCTTTTATATTTGTCAAATATGTTCCTATTCTAAAATATAAAAAGAAATAAGTAAAAACAAGCAAAATTATTTTAAAAACTGAATTCAGTTGAACTGAATGCTTTAAATGGGTGAACTGCATGGCATTGAATCATCTTTCAGTAAAGTTGCTATTAGAACCAACTGCATGGCCTGTAAATACAAAGTGGGATGGCAAGCTCCCAGTGTAATGCACCCTTGCTTCCACAGGGGGGCACTCTCGCCACTCTGAACAATGCTCATCCCTGACGTGGGACCTAGTTTACCAGCTCAGAACAGTCAAGGACTGGACGTGGGTCACCTCTATGAATCCCTCAGGACAGACCCCAGTCGAGGCCAGGGCCTCACTGCCAAGGGGACACTCTCCTGGGAGGCAGTGTGGCACAACGGCACAGACCCAAATTCTAGATCTGCTATTCACCAGCGGCGTGGCCTTGGGCAAGTCACTTCGTATGTCTCAGTTTCCACACCCGTAAAATGGGGATAATAACAGCTCCTGCATCACAAGGCTGGGTGAACAGGACATGAATTACTCCACGAAGACGTTTAGGATGGGGCCTGACACACCTCAAGGGCACCTGGGTGGCCCTGCCATTACTGATGGGGGCGAGGTCCCCAGGCAATCCTGTCAACATCCTCACCACGACCACGCCTACTGGCAACGATGCTGAGGGCATAAGAAGGCGATGACTGGGGCGCTGTGTCCTTGGGGTCTGAGGCCTGGGCCCTAGCCCCAGCGGTCCTACTGAGCCCCGAGTGGCCCTGGGTCAGCCACTGTCCCACCCCAGTTCCCTTTGTTCTCCATTTGTAGAATAAGGACTTGGGTTCAGCAATGGCAGGGCTTCTTCTGTGTGGGTCCGTTCCCCAGCACACCACAATGGCTGCAGGATTCAGGGCCGACTCTCGTTATTTCCTTTTAACAGTTTTAATCAACTCTTTAGTACTTAAGTGCTCGACTGACTAGAGAAAAAGTTAGGACAATCACACATGGAGAACTGGTGCCACCTTCCATAATAAATATCCCCCATAAAAATATATGCATAACAGCAGGTTAGTTCAGTTAGACACAAGTGGCCTGGGAAGGCCTGGAGCTTGAAGGCCGCTGCTGATCTCTCAGCTGAAGGGAGAGCATCCGAATTCATGTTAAGGTCCTATTAGTACCAAACTAAGACTTTCTCGGCGATATCAAAAGACGTGAAAGAGAATTAGAGGGGGAACCATCTTTGCTACATGAACACCCCCTGAATGCCTAGATAGTACCCCATATCTTGAGGAAAGGTGGGATCACTGTAAACTATGTTCTCACCCTAAAACCAGCAGTTTCTAAGCAAGGGTTGCAAGAAGACTGGAATAGCCTAACATGCACTCCACCTTGTGGGTGTCCAACTCACCCCCTCCCCCAGTCCCCTCCCCCGCTCACAGGTTTCTCTCGGGTAAAGACCCAGGGGCCCCTGCCTCACCTCCTTCTCGGTTTCTGAATACTCCTTGAGCCTCTCCACGGCCACAATGTTGGTCTCCATCTCAGAGGACATCCGGACCAGCCAGTTCAAGTATGTGGTGACCTGTGAAGGGAAGCGTCACGTGGAGTTTCTAGAGTGAGAGTGAGCAGCCCTTCCTTTATTTTATGAATTACTGAACATGAATTATGAAACAATTCAGATAGCAAAGGTATCATCAGTCATCGCCCAGACTTGTCTCGCTGCATCTCTTTTCCAAGTAATCCACAGGCCACACAAAAGAAATTTTAAAATATTCTGAACTAGTTGATAGTATGAAAACACAATGTATGGAAATTTGTGAGATGCAGCTAAAGCAGTGTTTAGAGGGAAATTCACAGTATTAAACGCATTTCCCTCAAAGCTGACAGCATCCTCTCTGGCCACCAAGGAGTCTCCTTGACCGATGGAAATCCTGGTCACATGTTGAATTCCTCTCTGTTCTGGTCAGTCACCAGGCTCTGAATCTGCTCCTCAAACTCCCCTTGGGTCCCTGCCTCTCCTACTCCCAAGGGAATCCAAAACAAAAGAACCTGACTACTGGCTCCCCCACGAAAACACTTGAATAATCCAGCTGAGAGTGAGTCTTCTTACCTGCAATGAGTAGGACACCGAGAGGCCCACCAAGCCAGCACTGAGGCTGTGACGAGAGATCACAGTGAACAGGGCAGCAAACAGGACGATGCAGTTGCCCACATACTCCAGCCGCACGGCCAGCCACCTGCACAGGACACACAGGCAGACATGTGCAGAATCAGCTTTTCAGAGATCTGGCTTCCAGCTCAAGGAGAGAGGGCAAATCCTTGGTACCGCAACCCAGTGGTTCTGGAAAGAGGCCTTCTCAACACTGCTTGCTTAAGAGCTGGGTCCAGGGCACGGAGGGTTGAAAGGACAGGAGGTAAGAGGGTCTCTACTGACCTGCAAGCCTAGGGACCCAGCAGAGTTCTCCAGAGGCAAGTTTCCCAGGAACTAGCTTGCCCTTTTTTTTTTTTTTTTTTTTTTGAGTTGGGGTCTCACTCTTACCCAGGCAGGAGTGCAGTGGCAAGATCACAGCTTACTGCAGGGTCGACCACCTGGGCTCAGGTGATCCTTCTACCTGTCTCCTGAGTCGTTCGGACTTCAGGTGTGTGCCATCACGCCTGGCTAATTTTCTGATTTTTTTGTAGAGCCAAGGTCTCACTATATTGCCTAGGCTGGTCTTGAACTCTTAGACAAAGTGATCCTCATGCCTCAGCCTCCCTTTTTACGTACCAACTTTTTCTCACTGAAGCCTTTAAGATACACATTTTTTAAAAAGATATCTTGGGAAGTACTAATAAGTCATCAACTGTAGAGGCACCAATGACTTAAAATAACTGTCATTGCCTCTCGGCTTCTGGCTCAGATCAAGTGTAAAATAACCATGTCTTGGCAGGAGACGGATCTCAGAGGGAAGTGGGGAACAGGCCACCGTTGTAAATGTCCTTATGACGCTCCCAGACCCAGACTCATCCTAATTCCAGAAATGTGGAAATAAATGATTTATTACCTTTGAAAATATACACAGTTATGCTACTTGTTTAAAGTTAACAATATTATGAGCCGGGCTCAGTGGCTCAGCCTGTAATCCCGCGCCTTGGGAGGCTGAGGTGAGTGAATTGCCTGAGCCTCCGGGTTCAAGACCCGCCTGGGCAACTTGGTGAGACCTCATCTCTACAATAAATCAAAAATGAGCCGGGCATGGTAGCATGCACCTGTAGTTCCAGCTACTTGGAAGGCTGAGGCAGAAGGATTGTAGTGGGAAAAATAGAGAGACTGTGACATCGAAATCAAATTTTTTTTTAAAAACAAATGATTTCCAAAAACTACAGACTTATAAACCATCAACTTTTAAAAAAAATTTAGATAAGACCATTTCCATAAAATAGCCAGTCTCTGGGCCATTTAGCCTTTCTTAAACAAAACCTGCCTGACACTGGACAAGTCTTTAAAATTACAACTTGCCTTTTTTAAAAAAATATTTTTTAACTGCTATCAACCCCTCCTTCTTGCCGCTGGGCTAAAGACAGCCCAGGTAAGGCCAATTGCTAATCCCAAATCAACTATATATATTTTTATATTTACTCACTCAATCATACAAAAAATATATTTAAACATTTGCCATATCTTGCCAGAGGATTACCGGAGCCCAGCAGGTCGAGGCTGCGGTGGCCAGGAGCAGCCACTGCACTCCAATCTGGGTAACAGAGTGAGATTCAAACTCAAAAAAACAAAAACAAAAACAAAACAAAACAAAAAAACAATATTATGTAGCAATATCATGTAGAGCTATTATTTTAAAGTTTTTAAATGGGTGTGGTGGCTCACTCCTGTAACCCTAGCACTTTGGCAGGCTAGGGTGGGAAGATTGCTTGAGCCCACGAGTTCGAGACCAGCCTGGGCAACATAGTGAAATCTTGTCTCTATAAAAAAAAAAAAAAAAAATCAGAAAATTAGCTAGGTGTGGTGGCACATGCCTGTAGTCCCAGCTACTTGGGAGGCTAAAGCGGGACGATCACCAGAGCCCAGGAGGTCAAGGCTGTGGTGAGCCATGATTGTGCCACTGCACTCCAGCCTGGGAGACAGAGTAAGACTCTGACTCAAAAAAACAAGAATGAATAGTTTTAAAATGAAAGCTAGTTCTAGGGAGGTGGCACTGCTATCTTTTTTCCTCTGTGGTCCGTCCACTCCATGCAACTGGACTTCCTGTGTGTGAAAGCCAGATGGTGACAAACTCCTCAAAAGTTCCTCAAGGGAAGCCAAGGTCTCTGGGACCTCAGGGTCTGTGCACCCGGCCTGACTACAGAATTACACCATGTAGATGGACTGATGGCATGGGTCACCTCCAGGACACTGACACTTTTTCAAAAATGTCAATCAGGATGCAGGTGGGTAAGAAGGATGCTGTTTCAGGGATAAGTCAGACACTGTCTAAATCTGGTGACTAATCAGCAAGCTTCTGCCCCCTCTGGATTTACGCCATTCGTGTCTGATCCACAAGATGACAACTTCATGTGGCTCCATGTAATATCTGTCAATTCTTCTACCACACCCACATGGGGGACCATGACCACCCCTGGCCGAGGGCCATGGCATGAAAACACTCAGCAGAAGCATCTGTCGCTGACATTGTGCGTCACCAGGACAACAGCCATAGGACTGAGCCTGCAGGCCTCTGTCCCCGCGCCTGAGCACTGGTGCGGCATGCTCCCAGGGTTCCTGTCTGCTTCCAGCTCTCAGCCTGTCCTCTCTCACCACGTTGGTCTGTCCTTCCTGTGAGGGCCCAAGGGTGGCTTTCCACCCACTCCAGGGTGTGCAGGAGACCGAGGCGCAGGGACAGGGTGCTGAGAAGGCCCCGCCCACGCAGCGCGCCCACCTGTTGGCCACGATGCTGGGGTAGTAAGCCTTCTGGTTCTCGTCCACCTTCCGGTCACTCTGGCGGATGAAGCGCTCCTGCTCCTCGAAGGCGCGGATGACGCTGACCCCCAGCAGGGTCTCGCTGAAGTGGGAGTACACTGGGGAGCGGCTCACCGACTCCAGGCGCTTCAGCTGCCGCGAGGACGCCACATAGAACCTCTGCAGCGGGGGGAGGGAAGTGTCGACAAAGGTGCCCTCGGCCTATCCTCCCTGCACCGGGCTGGAGAAAGCCTGGCACAGCTGGGGCTTCCAGGAGATGGGATGCCAGAGGGACACTCGCTAACCAGTCAACCAAGCACAGGCCAATGCCACCAACAGTGACCGGAACAGCAGCTCGGGCCACATATAGCCCACTGTCCCGGGCATCGCTCTAAGAGCTTGGACATTATCAGTTCCTTCAATCCTCATGAGAAACCTACAAGGCACTTATTCCTACACGTGATGAGTAAACTGAGGCACAAGGAGACTGATTTGCCTCCCTCCAGGTCACATGGCCAGTGACTGGCAGAGTTGGGACTCGAACCTGAAGCCTTTGACCTTCAGGGTATTATGGATTTCCAGCATGGGTTTTGAGGTCAGCCAGACCTCAGATCAAATCCTGACTCTGCTACTGAGGAACAATATAATCACGGCCAACACTTTATTTCTCTAAGCCTCAGTTTCCTGATCTGTGAAATGGGAACAAGAAAGCTTGCTTAGCAAGGTCATTGTGAGAATGACATGAAAGAATCATGTCCTCCTGTATGTAATATGTCACTTGTTTGCACACGTTTTCATGTATCTTATAAACAGAAGCAGTGTCACTGAGTACAGTGCCTGGTAACAGCAGGCCGAACCATAAGAAATGGCTGTTTTTGTGGATGAGAAGCGGGTGAACACCAGCAATTTCATGTGGGCTGGACCAGCAACGAGCAGCTCACGAGGTGGTGAGCACTGCTACCACGAGGTGGCAGGACCTGCCTGTGTGTCACAGCCCCTCAGCAGCCACCATGCCCATACGACGGTCGCTTCTAGCACTCGCACCCAAGCTGACAGGAGTCAACCTCGTCACGCCCCTGCAGTAGTCTCTCATAGCTTAGAGAGGTCAAATGCTTCCCCCCACCCTGCACGCAGCCCATGCCTCCACCAACACCCCTGTCCAATCAGGGCCACTCCTCACCTCCCAGCAGAAGGAAGCACAAATGTCACTTCCTGAGGAGCCCTTCCTTACCCCAGCAGGGAGCCATCTCCTGGGCTATGAAGACGCCACATTTCACCAGCAGCTCCACCCGCCCTTGTGGGTAGGCTGCACACCTGCTCTGTCCCTGCCCTGTCCTGGGCATTTGGCCAGTGCCAGGCACAGACAGCTGTCTGGCAGGTCTTGCTGGAGATGGGACAGAAGCCAGCCACCCACTGGAAGCCTCTGTGAGCCATGGAACAGATGCCGGGCAAGAGGGCCATCTGAGGACACCCGAGTCCTCTTGGCCTCAGCTTCCTCATCTGTACACATGGATCTGGTGAGACTGGGTTCCCTACTCCCAAGATAACATGCATGTGACTAGAGCCAGGCACAGCAATGAAGACTGCAGGACTCAGCCTCCCTCCCCCCGCCCGCCCCGCCGCGCTGGTAAAGGGCACCGATTGTGACAGGAACCTTTTGTGAAGCCTCTCCAGCTGGCAGCTTCTTTCTAGATGGCAGCACGGGAAGTGGTCTGCACTCACAGGTGGGGAGCCCCTGGGGTCCCGGCCCCTCATCAGCAAGCCCAGGACCACATGGTCTCAGGACAGCTGTTCTGCCAGTACCCAGAACGAGGCCAGATGTCACCTCTTCCCTAGCAGTTCCCGCCACCTCGAAGGAAAGCCAGAGCCCTCGGACCACATGATCCGCCGCTGGCTTCCCCAACCTCACCTCCCCTGACACTCGCTTTCTTCCCAAAAATTCCAGACACAAATTGCTCTGAAGAGTTTCCCCTGTCCGACTTACTCCACTGGTCACTGCCTTGGAACCTTACTTCCTGGAAAAATCTGACCTAGACAAATGTTTCTTCACGTACGATCTGATTTTTTAAAAAAGGATCCCCCTCTCTCACCAGGTACAGTGGCTCACGCCTATAATCCCAGGACTTTGGGAGGCTGAGGTGAGAGGATCGCTTAAGCCCAGGAGTTCGAGACTAGCCTAGGCAACATAGCAAGACCTTGTCTTTACAGAAAAATTTTAAAAATAGCCAGGCGGGGTGGCGTGCACCTGTAGTCTCAGCTGCTTGGGAGGCTGAGATAGGAGGTCGAGGCTGCAATGAGCCACGATTGTGTCACTGCACTGCAGCCTGGGTGACAGCGTGAGACCCTGGCTCAAAAAAAAGAAAAGCACACTGGGTCAATGAACACTAAAAATAATCACTGTGGTTATTCAAAACTGTCACAAACAAATCCTCCTCAAGCAGACCTCAAGCACACCACCCTGGAGGAAGTGAACCCTGGGGCGACGGGCTCTTCCCGAGACCCCCTCACCTGGACGAAGAAGTAGACCAGGCCCAGGGGCGGGATGATGACGGCGGCAATGGGCGTGGCCAGCAGGATGATGATGCAAGCACCCACGACGTTGAACAGGGAGCCCATGAACATCTTGATGACCTGTGGGATCATGGAGTCCACCGTGTCCAGCTCCTTGGAGAAGCGGTTCACCAGGTTCCCACTGGGCGTCCGCTCGAAGAAGGCCATGGGCGACCGCAGGACGTTGTGCAGCAGGTCCAGGTGCAGGCGGCGGGAGGCGAAGATGCCCCCAATGGACACTGCCATGGAGTAGCCAAACACGGCGACACCTGCAGGCGCTCCGAGTTAGATGCCGCCCCGGGAGGGGCCTGACAGGCAGGCCTGGATGCCCCGTGGTTGATGATAACCACAACGGCTGGCTGTTATTTGGGAAGCACTTTCTGTGTGCTAAACATGGTGCTGGGATTTAACTACATTTTTATGACGACTTTGAATAAGTTCAATTACTGCCCAATTTACAGAATAAGCCCAGGTGCGTGAGCTCCTTTGCTTGTAATATACTCCGTCGATGAGAAGCGGGGCTGGGTTTTTTATTTTATTCATTTATTTTTGAGTCAGAGTCTCACTCAGTCACTCAGGATGAAGTGCAATGAGTGGCAAGTTCACGGTTTACTACAGCTTCAAACTCCTGGGCTCAGGTGATCCTTCTGCCTCAGCCTTCTGAGTGGCTGGGACTGTAGGTACGTACCACCACACCCCGCTCATTTTTTATTTTTATTTTTTGTAGAGACGAGGTCCCACTATGTTGCCCAGGCTGGTCTCAACCTCCTGGGCTCAAGCAATCCTCCTGTCTCGGCCTCCCAAAGTGCTGGCATTATAGGCTTAGGCCACAGCACCTGACCCAGTGCTGGATTCTCACACAGGCAACCGGCTCCAGGGCCGTGCTCTCTGTCCATACGCCACATATTCCTCCAGACCAGCACTGTCCGGACATATGTTAAGGGACATATGTTCCACATCTGTGCTATCCAATATGGCAGCCACCAGCTACAGGGGGCTACGGGGCACTTGAGATGTATCTAGTCCAACCAAAAAACTGGATTTTTAATTTCCTTTCATTTTAATTAACCGAAATTAAGCTAGCAACCAACGGCTTGTGACTATACTAGACAGCACAGCTCTAGAACCGACACTTGCTGTGTGAGCCCAGGTGAACACCACACCCTCTCTGTTCTCTGCCTTCCTTCAGTTGTAATCTGGTGGACATTGTCCTCTGCCCTACCGGTGGTAAGGGTGGGGGGAAGCCAACTGAGAGATTCAGGAAACCCATGCTCATGCTTCTGCTGATGGTGTTTTTCAAAGCCATTTCCTGGAGGATTGAGACATGTGTGGCTCCTTCCAACAAGCCCCACCAGGGCGCTGTTCCTCCCAGAGTGGAAACCTCACAGGAACAGAGAAGCTTCCATCTCAGCCTCTTTAATCAGAGAGAAGCCCAAGAGGCAGGGGCTGAAACGACACTGCCACAGCCTATCTCTGCCACTTACCAGCTGTCGGACTGTCTACAGGTTAAGACCTATCTGGTACCTCAGTTTCCTCATCTGTAGAATGGGGACAATGAAACTCTCCAGGGAGCACTGTTAAGGCTCCACCTAGCAATGTGCTTGGCACACAGGAAGCGCTCATGACTGTACATGTATATGTATAAACACTGTCTCTCTGATCACACAGACACAGCTCACACAGTGCAGGGGTTTAGAGCATAAGCTCGGAGCCGGATTGGCTTGCTCAGGACCAGCTCTGCCGCCGGCCAGCTGTGTGACTTGGGACAACTCAGGACCAGCTCTGCTGCCGGCCAGCTGTGTGACTTGGGACAACTCAACCTCTCCAGGTCTCACTTTCTGCATCTCTAAAATGGGGCAGATGGGAGCTCCTTCCTCCCAGAACAGCTGCAAGGAGCAAATGAGTTAAAACACGAGAAACAGGCAGGCATGGTGGCTCTCGCCTGTAATCCCAGCACTTTGGGAGGAGGAGGTGGCAAGAGGACTGCCTGAACCCAGCAGTTCGAGACCCACTTGGGCAACTTGGCAAGACCTCATCTCTATAATAAATCAAAAAAATCAGCCGGGTGTGGTGGCATGTGCCTATAGTTCCAGCTACTTGGAAAGCTGAGGCGGAAGGATCACCTGAGCCCAGCGGGTCAAGCCTATGGTGGCTGTGAATGTGCCACTGCACTCCAGCCTGGGTGACAACTCAAAAAAAAACCCACGAGAAAGTGTTGAGAACAGTCAATGCTCCATAAACATCAGCTTTTATTCCCAATGCTGTTGCCCCAAGAGAGGACAGGAGTTCTCAGTCTCATCACTAGCATCATGTGGGGTTGTGTGTACACTACAGGATGTTCAGCCACATTCTTGGCCTCTAGATGTCAGAGGCAGAAACCCACCTGCCCCAAAGTTGTGACAACTAAGAGTATCCAGGTATTGCCAAACATCCCCAGAGGACACCACATCCCACGGTTGAGAACCACTAGCATACACCAATCCCCACCCTCACTCAGCAGGTAGAAGTTCACAAATGAGATCCTGCAGAAGCCCCACCAAAGACTCCTGTTCTCAACTTTCCTCATGCGTAAAGTAGGCACATCGGAGCTCTGCTCCCTTCTACTCCCTAGGGGCTTTGAACAAAGCCCCCAAGAAACTCTGATTCCACAGATATCTGAATGTCACTAGATGACAGGTGCTATTCATCTGGGTTTGGGAGTTCACAAAACCCTGAGGACTCAGGGGGCCCAATTCTATAATTAGACACGATGTGATTACTCAGGGTGCCAAAATCAGGTGGGATGGCAGATGGTGGCACCCACCTTGAGAAATGCCCAGGGTTCCGTAGACGCTTAGCCGGAGTTTGGTGTGCTCCTGGGTCCCGTTGACAACGGGGTCATCGGTCCAGAGACTGAGCCAATAGTTGGAGGCCAGGGCAGCCACGTGGTTGCACAAGAAGAGGAAGAGGCTCAGGAAGGAGATGAACAGCCCGATGGCCTTCATGTAGTCCCAGTACACAGAGAGCTTGACCTGAAGGCCAGGAGAGGAGGAGTCTCATCTCAGGCCACACCCCTCAAAGTTGGGGCTTTGCACTGCGGTTAGCCAGCCACCTGCTTCCGCTCTCACCCAGAACACCCTCCCCTGGGTTATTTAACAGAGATTTCAGCGGTCGACAGGGCCAAGCCTGCTGGCCTCATGGAGCCTCCAGTGGAGCACAGAGACAGGCGTCCATCAAGTTCCCACCCACGTAAACGCACCATTAAGGAGAAGGCTGCCCACAGTGCACAATTCCACATGACTCTAAGACTGGGGGCGGGGGGTGCCCTCTGAGGAGGTGACATTAGAGGGTTAACCAGCTGAACACAGAGAATGGGCACTCCAGGGGAGGAGCCAGTGTGTGCAAAGGCCCTGAGGCAGGAGGGCACACAGCACATGTGGGGGACTAAAAGAAGGCAAGGGCAACCGGCAGGAGGAGAGCGTGCACAGTCGAGGAACAAGAGGAGGCTGGAAATGGGGGTTGTAGCTTATGCAGCCCAGAAGATTTCATCCAGGACTCTTACTCCAGGACTGCAGAAAGTGTAAGTCATTTATGAGTTTTAACCCAATGGGGAGGTGTGCCACGTTGCCTAGCAACCAGGACCCAGCTTCGGCCCACCCAAAGTGGGGCCTGCCTCTCAGCTCCATTCACTCAGTGAACCCAACACCACACCCATCAGGCTTCCTATTGCTCGGGACATGGTCAGCACCGCAGGCAAAGGTAGGGGCTTTCCTTTCCTCCTGTATCCCTGGCCGCTTTAGGCCAGCCCCCCGCCCAAACCACCCGGCTTGCTTTCAACAAACTCTTGGCATCTATTCCTAGTGTCTGCGATCACCATCTCAAGCTTTACCCTGCTGAATTTTGGGTCAAAAGAAGCTTGTGGCTCTACAGTCTAGCTGAGAAGTGACAGGTCTGATGGAGAACTAGCCACTTCCTTTTTTCTTTGTCAAGTCTCTCTTCTTGAAATTGAAATAGGCGGGTGGCAGGAAAGGGGAGGGGAATTGAGAGCGTGTTTATTTCACCTTCCAGCCTCACCCTGTGGCCAAATCCCTGGAATTAGCCTGCAGGGTTTGGGACCATCTGCCCAGGAGCAGTGGAATGTGGCAGGCACAGAGGTCGGGGGTGACCGGGTGTGTTGAGCCCAGCCCCACTCCTGGTCTGGCTGTGACAAGTAACAGGCCCCTGGTTTCAGTGTTCTCTACATATAACAGGAATGATCCTGGGACCGACTCCTCTGGGTCACACAGGCCTGGGTGGGGATTAAGTGGGCCTGGAACATCAGGTCCCTCCTGCCCAAGTCCTTGATTTGGGTGTCATTTCTCTGACCCCCCTGGAGGGTCAGTCAGAGCAAGGTGCGAGAGGACAATATAGTCCCCTCGACCTCGTCCCTGGTTATGATAACAAGCTCGGGAAGACACTGGGAATGGAGGGTTCCCAGGAGACTTCAGATACAGCAGGCAGATCCAAGAGAAAATGGCCGAGCCTCGCTTGCCCGTGGCCACCATCTGTGGGTTTTGTCTGTACACTGATTTTTTACTTATTGTAAAAACTCCACTCCCTATATTTTTAAACATGACCACATTTATTTTTAAAAGTTAACTTTGGATCACAACCATACATGGAAAATTACTGAAACTTGCCCAAAACAGATGATGTTCAAATAAAAATGCAATAAAACAAGAGCCTGAAACCTGGTCTCCTAGTTACAAAGAACAGTCAGCAGTTGGCAGGTATTAAAGACAGGATAGGGCCAGGCATGCTGGCTCACATCTGTAATCCCTTTAGGAGGCCGAGGCAAGAGGATTGTTTGAGCCCAGGAGTTTGAGACCAGCCTGGATAACATAGCAAGACCTCGTCTCTATAAAAAGTAAAAAAATTAACCAGGTGTGGTGGTGCACACCTGTAGTCCCAGCTAGATGGGAGAGGCTAAGGTGGAAGGACCGCCTGAGCCCAGAAGATAAAGGCTAAAGTGAGCTGTGATTGTACCACTGCACTGCAGCCTGGGCGACAGAGTAAGACTCCGACTCTAATAATAATAATGATGATGGTGAAGACAGGCTAGCACCCAGCTGAGACTTTCCCACAGATGCAATCACAAGGATTAAAAGAGAAATGAAAAAAACTCCCATGGGTGCCATTCAGTGCTGTCTCTATGCAGGCCCTGAAGCCACCTCACCTACAACTGAGCCCCCACTCAGGAGCCCTGATTTGAGGCATCCAGTTCGCCTACAGCCACAGAGAGCCCCGAGCTGCTCAGAGCAAGGTGGGAGTCAGCAGAGCAGAGACGACAAGGGCCAATCCTGCAATCCGACCGCCAGGGTTCAAGTCCCAGCTCTGCCACTTACCAGCTGTGACCCTGGCCAAGTCCGTTAGCCTCTCTGGCCCTGGGCTTCACAGCTGTCCACAGAACTTTACAGGCTTACTCTGGCGGACACAGGAGCGAATGCTCCACATGGTGCCCAGCACTCAGCAGGTGCCCTGGGAGCCCCGACCACCGTCACCACAGAGGGAACCAGACTTACCTGCCCTGTCTGAGCCTTGTCCGCCTCCATAAGCTTCCAGGTCTCCTCTGGCTTGGCCCCAGCTTTCTGCAGCTCGGCCGTGCTGCTGTGGTGCCTGCCACCGTCCCCACTATACGAGGAGGAGCCGCTGAGCTGCCTGGGGGAGGGAAAGATAGTGGTGTCAACTGCACAGAAGCCTCAGGAGGGGCCCATGGCCCCCTGGTTGGGGCTGCTCCTGTGGCCCGAGCAGTGGCTGAGAGAGAGGGGGAGTCTCCACATGCACACATGGGAACACACGTGAGAACACAGTCCTGTCACTCTCCAGGATTACAAGATCCTGGGGAAAGGAACATCTTGGGCAGGAATGAGAGCCATGGCAACGCCATCTGTGACTGTCTACGAGGGTCTGTGTGACGCTGGGACCACTGATGTGCTGAAAGGCCTTTCTGAACACTAGCCTACGTGAAGGAACCAGTCTCTGGAGGATCTCGGGACAAGACCCTCTCTGTTTCCAGGCCACAACTGTGAAACAGGAAGACTAAACTCATACTTTGATCTGTTTTTTTCATTACGTTTTGGATCTTCTTCATATTCGAAAGATGATCTAAGACCAGCCCTCTCAAAATATCTATTTTTTTTAGGTCAATTCTATTTTGGGGGGTAACTGATTTGCACGTAATTTCAAGTCTACAGAAAAGCTGCAAGGACAGTACAAGAGACTGGACATCCCTCACCCAGAACAGTCACTGATTCTCCCATCTTGCCATGTTTGTTCTATCATTCGCTCTGTTTTCACAAAAACCAACTACAAGCATTACTCATGGTTTTTCTGAATCTTTTGTCATTTTATTTTTGCTGTTAAAATATTTCAAGCCGGGCTCGGTGGCTCAGCCTGTAATCCCGCACCTTTGGGAGGCTGGGGTGAGTGGATTGCCTGAGCCTGCGGGTTCAAGACCCGCCTGGGCAGCGAGACCTCATCTCTACAATTAATCAAAAAATCAGCCGGGCATGGTAGCGCGTGCCTGTAATTCCAGCTACTTAGAAGGCTGAGGCAGAAGATCGAGGAGCCCAGCAGGTCGAGGCTACAGTGGCCGGGAGCAGCCACTGCACTCCAGTCTAGGCGACAGAGTGAGACTCCAACTCAAAAAAAAAAAAAAAAAAAAAATTCAAACACAAAACTCTGAAATACCACGAATCGGATCTCACTGTGCCTTGAACTCCCAGACTCCAGCCATCCTCCTGCCCCAGCTTCCCGAGTACCTGGGACTACAGGAGCCACTGTAGCCCAAAGATTTTTAAATTTTTTTTGTAGACAGGATCTCGCTATGTTGCCCAGACTTGTCTCAAACTCCTAGCTTCAACTGATTATCCCACCTCAGGCTCTCAAAGTGCTGGGATTACAAGCATGATCACCCAGCCTTAACTCAACTCTCTCTCTTCTTTAAAATTAGTTCATTAGACAAGTACTAATGCCACAGACAAAACTAAGTGTAAAAAAGATCTCATTCCTTTCCATCCCCTTCTTCCTTTCCCCTAAGCTTCAGGAGTAAACACAGTTCTCAAGCTGAGGTGTGCCCTTCTTACCCATGTTTTCTGTACTTTATGACCAAGGTGTGTGTCCACAAGGATACATGCATTTAATTTAATTTTATTTTTTTGAGTCAGAGAGTCTGACTGTGTCACCCAGGCTGCAGTGCAGTGGTACACTCACAGTCTCCTGCCTCGGTCTTCCAAGTAGCTGAAACCACAGGGGCATGCCACCATGCCTGCCTAATTTTTGATTTATTGTAGAGACGAAGTCTCACCATGTTGCCCAGGCTGATCTCGAACCCCTGGGCTTGGGCAAGCCTCTTACCCCTGCCTCCCAAGTGCCAGAATTATAGGCATGAACCACCGTGCCCAGCCCATGTATTTAGTTTTTAAGATCTACAAACTTTCTCTTCTTTGTAAAACCTTAAGTGGAGCCCTAATTTAGAACAGAAGCCACAGAGTTGCTCTGGATGAAGGGGAAGGTGGGGCTTGAAGCCTCGAGTCCAACCACAGTTGCCATGGCAACTCCTCACTCAGATGCCCTCCAGTTCCGGAAGTCTACAGCTTTATGGGGGCCTGTTTCTCCAGGAACCTCCTGGTAGTCCTGTTAGACAGAGAGGGCAAACCCAAATGGTTGCTGTGGCTGACAGGTCATCAACAATGAGTGAAGGGGGCCCAGCAGGTTCCATGGAACCTGGAAACACATGTTGGAAGGGGCAATGGTCTCGCAGTTCCAGCCAGCAGGTGCCCTGTGAACACAGTGCCTTATGCTGGCAATTCTTTCCATTCTGTTCAGAAGAAAGTGCAAGTCCAGCAAGCCATGAGAAATAACGCAGACCACAAAAAAACACACAGTGGTCCTTTGCAGTAAAAGTTTCCATTCTTCCTTCTATACAAGATGACAAGCTCCCTGAGGTTGGGGTCCTGTGTGAGTCATCACTGCACCCCAGAAACGAGTCCCCTCATGATACATCCTGAAGGCCAAATAAAACTCCAGTGGCCCCTTCCCTAGACTAAGCCCTGAGGTGGGCACTGCCTTCTTTCTTGTGAGATCTATGCACAAGTCAAGGACAAGAGGGGTGGATATGGCCCCAGATCTGAGTGAGCTCTCGGAGAGGAGCACAGGGAAGAATCTGACGAGCAAGACATGACAGACACATCGGGGGGTCTGTGCCCTCCCGCTCAGCTGCCCAGGGCGCTCTCCCACGAGCTCCCACCACTGGCCCCTATGTCCCAGGATGGCATCCCCGGTGCTCTGCACCATCACCCCTGAGTACCAAGAGGCCCAGCTCACCACCTTAACAGGGGCACCAGCAGGGCCCCCATCTGACCCATAGGACAAAGCTTGAGTCTGAGCGGTGTCAAGGGCAAGATGCCGATGGGCACAGCTACTCATGCCGAGTTTCTCCCAGCCCCATTTCTGGGAAATCACCCATCCAAAGAAAGACTCAGGCAGCCCCAGTTCACCCCAAAAGATGTGAGTGCTACCTACTGAGTGCTGATGGTGCAAGGTACTGTTCTAAATGCTTTACATAAACCACACTGTGTAAGCCTTCCCAAAGCCTATGTTATAGGGACTACCATAAATTCGATTTGACATGAGGAAACTGAGGCACAGAGAGTTTAAACAATAGAGCCTATGAGTGCCGCTCCTCTGAGTATCCAATGCTCTAGCCCAAAGCAACCTCTCTCTTAAAACATCGTAGCAAAGGACTTGGGAGCACTGGCTTGGAGGCCTACCTGCACTCAAATCCAAGGTCAGCTTCTCTCTGTGTGGCTGTGGAGAGCTCTCAGTTGGCTCCCCTGTAAAATGGAGGGTGACGGTAACCACCCCTGGGCTCAGCAGGACAAACAAGGCATGGTGCTGTGCCTGGCTTCTCACAGTAGTCACACCCTTGAGACTATGCTCCCTCCAGGCCCTTGAGAGACCTAAGTGAAGACCCACAGCATAGGCAAGGAGTGAGCACTAGGCAGGGGGACACACAGCTGCCTCACGAGGCCCACGTGAGTCATGGTCCTGGCAGGAGTACTGACTGCTCCCCCTTGGGGCCTCTGCGCTCTGAAAGATAAGGTCCACAGAGGACTTGCGAAGGGGGGCGGAAGGTTCATGCTTTCTGGGACCCCAGAAGCTGAGGCCCTTCTTGGTGGGTCAACCAAAGCACATGGCCCCCTTATCCCTCGTCTCGCCCCTAGGTAGGCAGGATGGGGTCCTTGGGACGGGGCCTCCCTTCCGCCCTTACCTCTGCAGTTGCTTGCCCGCAGAGTCTGTCACCAGCATGCCGTTCTCCAACTGCTTTGCCTCCTTCCCGGGACCTCCAAGACCCGCCAACCCTGGCAGAAGAGAAGCGGGACAAGTGGAGCTTCGAGGGCCGGACAGTGCCCAACCCGGCCGCTGGGAAGCTCAAAGGGGAAGCTGCTCTGCTGAGGCCACTGCAGGCTGTGCTGCCCTGGTGCCGGACACATCGGAGCTGGGTCCTTCGGGGCAGGGGCAGCGTCCAGAGGGCCCATCAGCTGAGGGCCAGGGGCCAGAACAGGCATCCTGCAACGGTAAAGCCCAGCTCCAGGGTGGCATGGAAACACACGTTGGAAGGGGCAATGGTCTCGCAGTTCCAGCCCGTGAAGTGTGGCTCATGGGGCCAGGAGGCACAGAAACCCTGCCCTCTAGTCCCCGAGCATCCTGAGCAGAGGTGACATGCAAAAGAACAGCCAGGAGGACAAGGACCTCAGCCACAGGCCGAGGCCAGAGGCCCTAGTAGTGCCAGGAGCAGAGCCTTTTGTTCCCAGATCACAGGAAGGTCTCAGAGTCCAGGGCACAGGGCCTCTGGGTAGGGGCTGCTTCTTCAGACATAAGGAAGGATTTCAGCATCTGGACTGTCGAGGAGCCAGGCTCAACTGACAGCCACATGAGTTTGGAAGTGGGTCCTTCTCCACATCAGTCTTCAGATGAGACCCCAGCCCCAGCCAACACCTGGGCTGCAGACTCAGGAGAGACCCTGATAAGGCCACCATGGGGCATGCCTCCAGAATAGCTCCCCAGATCCTGGGAGGAATCCACCAGCATCAACAATCATCATTGGAATATCAACTAGACCACAGCCTATGAGCTCCAACAATGTACTGTGTCAAAATGTATCAACTTGTACCAATTCTCCTTCCGCCTTGGGACAGCTAAGTGACACGTGGTCACTGCCCCCACTCCGCACTGACTTCCTCAGGCTTTGGTGCCAGAGGAAGAGCACAGTGGAGGCACCGAAGGGCCGGCCCCAGGGGAGATGAGGGAACCCAGAGGGAAGTTACAGAGGGCGGTAAATACACAGCCAGCAGCTGTCAGGTGAGTCTGGGAGAGTGATGATGGGACGCGAGTAAAAGCAGCATCCAGAAGCAGGCTCTCTCATGACAGCACAGGGAGACACAGGCCCAATTGACGGAGGGGATACGGGTCACTCACTCAGGGGCAGGCGCTCCAAGTCAGGGGTTCTCAGTCTTGGCTGTGAACAGATCATGCAGGGACTTTATAAAGGAGCAGATGCCCACACATCCAGCCCCAGTACCCTCAGTGACTGAGTTGGAGCCAGTCAGGTAACTGGGACGCACAGGAGATGGCCTCTCACTTCCTAGCTGTGCACATTGGGGAAACGATAAGTCTCTCTGAGGCATCTGGCCGGGCGTGGTGGCTCACGCCTGTCATGCCAGAACTTTGGGAGGCCAAGGCGAGAGGATTGCCTGGACAACAAAATGAGAGCTCAACTCTACAAAAAAACAAAAAAATTAGCCAGGCGTGGTGGCATACGCCTATAGTCCCAGTTGCTCGGGAGGCTGAGACAGGAGGATTGCCTGATCCCAGGAGGCTGAGGCTGCAATGAGCTCTGACTGTGCCACTGCACTCCAACATGGGTAAAAGAGTGAGACCCTGAATCTAAAAAAAACCCAAACAAACAAAAAACTTCTACATCTGTAAAGAAGGAACAGCGGTAGACCCTACCCTGGGTGGGAAGGTGAGAGGAGATCACGCATTGTGCTGGGCACAGGACATGGTGCTCAGTGACAGCAACCCCTGGAGTGCCTACTGTTAAGTACATTTGAAAATATATCCTAGCTGGGTGTGGTGGCTCATGCCTGTAATCCCAGCACTCTGGGAGGAAGAGACGAGAGGATTGCCTAAGACCAGGGGGGTTCAAGACCAGCCTGGGCAACTTGGAGAGACCGTGTCTCTATAATAAATCAAAAAAATTAGCTGGGTGTAATGGCACATGCCTGTAGTTCCAGTTACTTGGAAGGCTGATGCAGAGGGATCACTTGAGCCCAGCAGGTTGAGGCTGCGGTGGCTGTGAATGTGCCACCGTACTCTAGCCTAGGCGAGAGTGAGACTCCCATTCAAAAAATAAATGAATTAAAATAAAATAAAAGTCCAACAGATGATTCTCAGGTACAGCCAGGACTGAGAATCAATGCTTTAAACATTCCCTTTAATGTCAGCATCTGCTTTACTTTTTAAGTTTAAAAAAACCCAAAGAAAAACAGCCATATCACCCAGGAAGAAAGAGTGATAACAAGCAGGACTTTCCATGCAGCTGCGTGCAGTCAGTACTGACACACACACAGGAGGTCAGGAATCAGGCCTGGCTTTAGCCAAGTTTTTCTGTGCAGGGCTGAGGATGCTCCCAGACACCCCTGAGGTGGCATGCTGCAGAGAGACCCAACTGGCAGCCCCGGGCACCTTCCATCAGCCTTCTCTGCTCACCACTGGATGCAATTCACTATATGGGGCCTGTGTAGCGGCCCACTGGGCTGCCTCACCTTCTCAGCCCACCCACAGGTGGACGCTCCGATAGACAGCTGGGAGATTCTACTCTGCCAGGGGGAACTGCGAGTCTAGGAAGAGGAAGATGGGTTGGACACGGTGGCACATGCCTGTAATCCCAGGACTCTGGGAGGCTGAGGAGGGAGGATCACTTGAGCCCAGGGGTTTAAGACCAGCCTGGGCAACACAGCGAGACACTATCTCTGCAAAAAATAAAATATCAGTCAGGTATGATGGTATACACCTGTAGTCTCAGTTACTCAGAAGGCTGAGGCGGGAGGATCGCCTGAACCCTGAAGGTTGAAGCTGCAGTGGGCCGTGATTGTGCTGCTGCACTCCAGCCTGGGTGGCAGAGCGAGACCCTGACTTAAAGACAGAAGAGGAATGCTAATGCCCTGCCAGCCTTCTCTTGAGGGATTCACTCTCCCTCCTCCCACAGCCTTGGCAGGCCTGCTGGGTCTGGGTGCCTGGCTCTCCCAGCCAGGGACAGTCCTGACTGAGGTCACCCCAATCGAGCCCCTCTCCCGGGACTCTGACCATCATCAGTGGTCTACAAGGACCCAAGACAGTCGAGTCCATCTGTGCAGGGAGTCCATCTGGCTCCCCAGTCCTCCTGCTTCCTAAAGTCACCTCGTACATCCCAGAAAATGCCCTTTTTGGTGTACAGTGGCTGGGGTCAGTTTCTGGGGCTTGCAAAAGAGCCCCCAGCCAGGACCCCTCCCTCACTGCTGGCTACAAAGGCACTCGGTCCCTGGAGCTCGATGAGCGACACCTTCCTCCGGGCCCCCTGCCGACACCTGAGCCCCCCAATGAGGACTGCTCATCCCACACTGTCTGGCCTCGTGCGTCCTGGCTGTGCCCCGCATGTGTGTGTCTGGCATTGGACTGCCCAGCTGCTCCCATTTACTATCCAGTCACGGTGTGCCAGGCACCCCACAGCCTCGGTGCCCTACAAAGCCCACTGCTCACGGGAATGGGGCGTGTGAATGGGTGGAGCTTAGCCGAGGCCGCCGGGTGAGGAGGGAGAGACATGGGGACTTCCCCAGTGCCAGCCACGAGGCTGGCCCAGTCGGCGCACAGATGTCCACTGAAGGGACCCAAGGACAGCAGGAGGGGTGACGGTACAGACACTCGGGCCCCCACATGCAGCCACACACGCAGGTCCGTCCACGGCCTCATTCCACAAGCACAGCCGACATCAGCCCAGCCACGACTAACCTGCTTCCTCCTCGTCCGGCCCTCTGCCGCCTGGGAAGTCACAAGAGCCAAGAGTGTGTTAAGAGGCAAGGCGAAACGCTCTCCCTGCGCCCATCAAAGTGCCCAGGAGGAAGGAAGGGATTCACTCCTCTGAAGGGGAAGGGGCAAGGACGGCTGAGGGGCCTGCTCCATCTGTGCCTCAGTTTCCCCATCCCATGTGTGCTCAGTGGATCCCTGACAAGTCTGCCATCCAAGACCAGCCCTTTGGTCCGAAAGTAGCAACCGTCTTTACACACAAATAGAGCTGAAGGATGACAGAAACCAATCTTCTGTCTTCACACCTGCTTTCATGGCAGCAGAGGGAAAGAAAGAATTGCAGCAGGCAGGCATGGCACGGCACGGCACGGCACGGGGTGGTGGTGCAACCTCGGCTCCGGCCCACGGCCTTAGTTCTTTGAGTATCAACACTGCCCCATGGAGCCGTACGCTGGGCCAGCTGCACACAACCCAAGAAAAGGGGAAACAAAGGTGACTTGGCTCAGATGTCACCCCGGGTCCCAGGCTGGGATGGGGGCCCCCCTCCAGGCTCTCACAGGCCCTTAGACACCTCTCCATCACTGCATTGAGCACCACGATATCCTTGATCGCTTAGTGTGTATCTCCCCTATCAGACTGTGAGCTCTCAAGGGCACAGAGTGGGCCTTATCCACCATCTATTCCCAGTGCCTGGCACACCAGGCTGCCATGTGCAGTTGTACGGGATGCACACTGCACAACTCACTGTAGGGGACACCATTACACATGGAGGCTCAGGTACCAGGCGGCCCCATGGCACACAGCAGGCACTCTTATACACACGGTGGGCAGAAGGACTGACTGACAAGCAAGTGGCCATGTAAACAAGCAGAGCTGACTTCTCACTGCCAGAAGGATCACCATGTGGGCCACAGATATCGCCTCCCACAGTCCATATTGACAAGGTTGGTTTCTAAACCAGCCCTGAGAGGAAGAGGTGACATCTGCTCCGATTTCCCTCTAATCTGGGTTATCTACGCAGCTGTGTAAATACCAAAAGCCCTTTCACCTACAGCTTCTCGCACCAGGCATGCCTCACACCATCAAGATGCAATCTACTCACTCACTCATTTAATGCCTTTTTTGAGGGCCAACTATGTGTCAGGCACTGTTCTCAGTCTGGGGAAACAGAGGCAACTAACAAGTCGTCCTGGAGCTTAGAGTCCCAAGGGAGAGACGGACAACATTCAAACCAGTAGATCATAACTGATGACATCTAAGTCAGTGCTACGAAGCCAAACAAAGTAAGGAAAGGGAA